CTGATAACATTATGGTGAGACAGAGCCCTTCGCATTGCAGAAAGAATGTGAACGTATGCACTCATTCAGAAAAAAGTCTGGCAGCAGCACTTAATGAATTTATAAATGCATGTTCATTTAACCCGGCAATTCTTCACTCCTGGAGATATGCACTGGAAGAAATTCCTAACAGGTTAATAAGGAGCCATATATGTGGTTTATTGCAATGTTGTTTGTGATCAAAGGAGTTAGGGACAATTTAAGTGCTCATTCTGATATTTGTACATAATGGCAAAATGGGCAGCAGTTCAAATCAATGAACTAATTTTCAATATATTGATATACATAGATGTCCAAACACTAACATTATATTAAACTAGGAGAAAACAAAATGAGGATTATAAAACAAAAAGGCTTCTGTAATTAAGAACACATTCACATACACAACTACACACTACTTTCTAGAAAGTCATACATATAGCCAATTGAATGTATGGAGAGTGAGTTTGATGAACACACTTTTTACAAGGGATTGAGATGAGAATTGAAGACTGAAAATACAGTAAATCCAGCAATGGGCCTTCCCCAGATAATGTTAATAACAAGACCACACACTGAAGAGCACAATCACTCAATTCTATGAACCTGAAGTTAAAAAGAAAGAAGCAAAACTAAAATTTATATAACTTTAAATGAAAAAAGCTGAAAGAATTCATAATGGCATGCAAACTGACTAAAATAATAATATGAGTACAAGCTACTGTTTATGTGAATTTAAACTAGAACACAGGCATGGCATGCAAACTGATGAAAGTGACAATGAATAAAACAAACACAAAATGGTACACAAACTGACTGAAACTACCTAAAAAACGATTTCCTCTGAAACAGTTAGGGAAAGAGCTCTGTTTCGCTTCTCTGCCTTTTCTTGAAACCACCATGAAATAGAGAAATTCATAAGAATGATTTATGGATATGTTTTTGTTTTGTTTTGTTTTGTTTTGTTTTGTTTTTGTTTTTTTTCTGCCAAGGGCCATTTGGATATTTATAATATCACTAGAGGCCTGGAACACAAAATTCATGCATGTGAGGGGGAGGGTCTCTCAGACTGGCCTGCACATTCTCCCAATCTGGGTTCCCTCAGGGAATGTCCAACTGCCAGTTTTGGCCCCATCCCACTGCTGAGATTTCCCTGATAGTAGGGCTGACTGGAAGCCATTTCTGTTTGCTCTGCCCTGGAGATTCCCTTAGACCCCACCCCACACAATTTACAACCCCACTCAAGCTATGGGCAAAGACTTTTGCATATGAATGGCCTGTCCTTTCTCAGGCTAAAAACTTGTCAAACAAGCTACACCTGGGTCAGGGAGCACCAAAAGTATCAATAAAAGGCCCAAGACCCAGCACCAGCACCAGCCTGTCTTGCTTCACAGCTGGTCCTTGCTTCACAGCTGGTCCTTGTAGCTGTGATGGAAAAGAGGAGGAATCTGCAGATCTCTCTGTAGCTCCTGCTGGAGCCAGGCGGTGGCTGACTTTACACATCCCTGGAGACCCAAGAGCCAGTGTACCCAATGGTGAGTGTGAGACCATACCAGATTAAAACTCTTTACATATATAACTGACACACTCAAAGGGCAGACTGAGTGAGCACCAAAGACCTTCTGAAGCAAATTCTGCTCCATAGGGGTATCTCCTTCATAAGAGCTCTCTCACTGTAGTCACAGCTGATCTCCACAACCAATTGACCTAAGGTCAATTCTTCCCAGTGATACCAACAACAATCAAGGCTCAAGTACAACAATACCATGCTCATGGCCCACAACGGGGTGCACCTACAATGTCTAACTCAGGTGATTGGGGAGGCTGAGCCATTGGGCCCTATAGGACACCTACTACCTAAGGCCACTCTATTAACTCAAGGAGACTTAGCAGCTCTAATCAATATATATAGAAACAAACACAGGGAAGTAGCCAAAATACATAGAAAAAGAAATATGTCACAAATGAAAGAAATTGAAAAAAGCAAACTACTGGATATAGAGTTCAAAACCGCAGTTATAAGGTTACTCAAGAATATTCTAGAAACCTCCTAGGGACTTACTGAGACTTTCAAGGATCTTAGTAAAATGCTCCCCCAAAAATAGACAAGGGCCAGTCAGAAATAAAGCATACACTGACTGAAATAAAGAATAATAAACAGGGATTCAACAGTAAACTAGAGGATCCTGAGAATCATATCAATTATTTGAAATTTGAGGAAGTAAAAAACACCAAACCAGAAAAAAGAATCCAAAAATTTGGAGATAGTGTAAGGATCCTCTGGGGCAACTGCAAGCTACAAACATCTGAATTATGGAAGTGTCAGAAGAAAAGAAAGAGCAAGATATTGAAAACCTATTTGAAGAAATGACAGAAAACTTTCCCTACCTGGTGAAAGAAATAGAATTGCAAGTCCAGGAAACACAGAGAACCCCAAACAAGATGAACCCAAAGAGGACCACACCAAGACACATCATAATTAAAATGCCAAGGGCAAAAGTCAAAGAGAGAATCTTAAAAGCAGCAAGAGGAAAAAGTTAGTTATCTACAAGGGAGTACCCATATGATTATAAGCTGGTTTCTCAACAGGAACTATCCAAGCCAGAAGGGAGTGGCAATTAATATTCAAAGTATGCATAACAAGAACCCACAACCACGATTACCTAGCAAAGCTATCATTTAGAATGGAAGGGCACCATCTAACCAGTCTTATATAAAATGCTGAAGGGTATTCTTTAAGAAGAGGAAGAAGAAAAAGCTAAAGATAAAAAATATGAACAACAAAGTGGCAACAAATACATATCTATCAACAACTGAATCTAAAAAATCAAATGAATAAAAAATCTCATGAATAGAATAAACTGGTTAACGGTATAAAATGAGGGGCATGGAAATGGAATAGACTGATGATTCTCAGAGGGAAGAAGGTGTGGGTGTGTGGGAAGAGATTAGACAAAGATTTTATATGCATTTATGCATTAGCTATGGACAAATACTAGAGGGTGGCAAGGACCTGGAGTAGGGTGGGAACCTGATGAAGAGGAGCTATGGGGGGGTGGGAGGGAAAGAGAGACTTCTTTAATAATCTAACAATAAAGATTAATTTAAAAATAGCCTGCTATATTTGCTAAACATTTAATTAACTTAGCCCTAATGCCTCGGCAGAGACAGATCAGATTTGGGCCTTATACAGCTCGAGGGCTGGACATTCCCCATACCTGGTTTATGAACAAGGACACTATCTGCCTTATCTCCCAATTTGAGCACTTTCTACATGCCTTTGTAGTTTGCATATCACCAAGCACAAATGGGCCTGAACTGCATGGGTCCACATATTGGAGGATTTTTTTCAATAAACACAATTGGCCCTTCCTATCTGCTGGTTTTGTGCTTGCACAGTAGTCAGCAAACTCATTAGTCAACGCAGTCAAATATCAAAAGTACAATAATTGAAATTTCTTTTGAGAGCTAAATGTTTTAAACTTAAACTTCTTCTCACACCACTTCTTCAAAATAGACTCGCCCAGGCTGTGGTATTTTGTGGAAGAGCCACACTCAAGGGGCCAAAGAGCTGCATGTGGCTCGCGAGCCACAGTGTGACGACCGCCGTCCTAGCAGATTCAACCAACGGGATGGAAAGCACTATTTCGCATTCCCAAATGCACATTCCCACCTCGGATTCCCAACAATGAAAAAAATACTGTTTTCAATTTCAGGTTGGTTGAATTCACCCAAGTGAAGGGCCATTTAAAAAACAATGTGGTAGGTAAATTTTCAAATATGTGGGGGATAGGCTCTTCTAACATTCCACGTTGTTCAAGAGTCAACTGTGATAGAGCCTATATGAAAAAAAAAAAATCTAAAATGGAGATAATTACTTCTACCGTGTTTCTCCGAAAATAAGACCTACTTACGGGTTTCCTTCTGAATGAAATATAAGGCATCCCCCAAAAATAAGCCCCCCCCCCCCCAGGCTAAACATGAGAGATTTGGTCCACTGATTCTGAAAGAAATGGAGTCACAAGAAATTCACCAGGAAATTTGGGAATTGGATTGTTATGATGATGTTCCAGAAGGTGATTACATGATTGTCATTGAATAAATGAGTAAATTCTTGATACTGTAGAATTCCCAGTTTGTCTGCTTTGTGCTGACAACTACCGTACTACCGTACCATATACAAGTAATAAATTTCCTTTATTTTCATTTAACAATAAATGTGTACCGTATTCTTCTTCATGGAAAAATAAGACATCCCCTGAATATAAGACCTAGCGCATCTTTGGAAGCAAAAATTAATATAAGACACTGTCTTATTTTCGGGGAAACAGGGTAAATATTCCACACATACATAATATTTTAGTGTTTTTCTCTATGCTCCTACTAACCTTACTTTTTTACTTCAAGGCTTTTTCTCTCCTTGACTGAGGAATGCTTATTACCTTTTCTAAATTATCTCACCTATTGCGTTCATCACGCCACCAAATGCAACTTTCAACATTTTATTTAACAGATGATTTCATTTTCCTTTTGTTTGTCTCAAATTATTTTTATTTGGGTAACAAATATACGTCAAATCCTCATTTGGCGAAGAAAACACACACACACACACACACACACACACACACACAACTATGCTTGCAATGTATTATAGGAAAATTTTATTTGATGCAATACAAGTCCATTCACCCCTTAATCTGTTTATATGAGAAATCAAACTCATTAACTCATTTATTTGCATTTTTTAAAGATTTAAAGTCCTAAGAAGACAATAGCATTTTATTTATGTATTCTGTGCAACAATATAGAACATAGGACTTTTATTGGAAAACTATAACTACAGTAAAAATAACAATCATAGTAATAGAGTATATTCTAGTCTTGTACCATAAGGCCTACTTTCAAACAAAAGGGATGGCACAAGCAGAGGAGATGGGGAATTAGCACAGTCATATAAAAGTGAATTAAAGAACTTTTATTACCTTAGTTTCTTTCCTCCATCGGCAATTTTAGCTTTTTGAAGATAACCTTCTTTTTCAACCATCTGCAAGAAGAATGCATCTGTTAAAACTGTGACAAACTCCCATGCATTATTAGTTTAAATGAACCCATGCTTTCCAAAAGTCATTGTAGTGATAGAAGTTTCCAGTCATAGAACTTCATTAATAATGCATATATAGCTTATGGGAAGTGTCTGCAAGATGATAGTCATTACAAGCCCTTAAATATCCAAAAGAAAGATTACGAAGAGTAATGTGAATGATTTGTTACATGGTGATACACCTTTACTCGCTTTTCCTTCTGGGCATTGAAGTAACTTGCTTACAAAATTGATTAACAACAGTAAAACAAAGACAAATTTGATGCTCTCCTTAATTTTACTAATCATCCTTAGAAAAGTACTTATGTTTTTTTACTCTTCACCCCCACTTCCTCATGTACCTGGTGAGGCCAGTGATTTAGAAGAATTCTATGGAGCCAGGTAACTGAGTCACATGAACCATGGAAGGACATTTAAAACAGTGACATTGTATGCATATTGTTGTTACCAAGATAAGCTGTAACACCATCCCACTATCTTCTTCTATGATGTAGGTTTGTTTCCTTTCCTGTTTGTATGTATTGGCTTTCATTAGTTGTACATCAGCAAGATTCTTAACCTGTTAACCGAGTGGGACGTATAAATACGTCAAACATAAACATTATAGGGTACGGGAAGGACATATGTATACGTCCTTGAAATATATGTTGCGCCTGAAACGGGCTGGACGTATATTTCCAAAAAAAAAGGTATTAGTCATCCATGCATGTCTCGACATGAATTTAAGATACGGAGGGAATCAGTATAATTTCGCTAGTGAGAATGGTGGACGTGTTCAACAAGAGTTGTTTTGGAGTTAACACATGACTTACTGAATAAAGGGTATAGGATTTACATAGATAATTTCTATACGTCAATTCATTTGGCTGAACTCTTGTGTCAAAACAATACAGACATTGTTGGAACAATGAGGATAACAGAGTCAGAATCCTCAGTTAAATAAAAACAAAAAAATTACAGAAAAATGAACATATAGTAAGATTCAAAGACAAACTTATAGTTTTAAAATGGAAGGATAAAAAAGACGTATTGATGCTCAGTTCTATTCATAATGACGAAAAGACAATGATTGAAAAGAGAGGAAGAAGGCAAGAAAAACCGAATGTTGTCCTGGATTATAACAAGAATATGGGCGGCGTAGATTTGGGAGATGGAGTTATGGTGGCCTACACAGCTGCCTGTAATACGGTAAAAAAAATTTTATAAAAAAAGTTTTTCTATGATTAATTGATATGTGTTGCTTCCATGCATATATTACATACAAAAAAGATAAAGGTCATTTGGATCGATTACACTTTTTGATAGAGTGTGTAGAGAAATTGGTAGATAACAACATAGTGAAAACCCTCCCAAAGACATCAACAAGCAGCTCTACATCTAAACTATCACACTTAGTTGAAAGGCATTTTCCAGAACAAATGAAAAGCGATATAGGAAAAACTAAATCCAGGAAATGCCGAGTTTGCTACAAAAAAGGTTTTAGGAAAGAATCTACATACTGGTGTCCGGATTGTAAGGTAGCACTATGTATCAACAATTGTTTTAAAATATATCACACGGAAGTTGAGTTTTTAATTTTTATATCTATATTTTAATTTTTTAAACTCAGTATTTCTATTTTATTTGTGTGCTTTTGTTTATTGTTCTGTAATTAACTTTTTTAATATTTTTGTTATGTATCAAAATAAAAAACATATATTTTTTGTAATCTTTATAATTGTTTGTAAAATTTATAATTTTTTAATTTGATGTTTCCATTTTTTTGATGGTATTCTTTTCTATTTGTTTGTAACTTTGTATTTTCCTTTCTGCTTTATATATAAATAAACAAAAAATATATATTTCATAATCTTTTCATTTATTTTAAGTATAAATAAAAAAATAATAATAATATAAAATTACATCCTCCGGGCGTGACGTGAAAGAGTACACGCCCGTTATATGTTGCATAATTAAAAAGGGAATTCCCCGGTTAACAGGTTAAAGGAGATTCAATAATTTTTTGTAACACCACAGAAGTTTTATGGAGTTCTAGAGTAAAAATGCATCATGCAAATTGTGATGTAGTGACTCCCAGAAAAATCTATAATAATTGTTTTAGTTTCAACTAATATATTTTTTTAAACATTTTTATTGATTTCAGAGAGAAAAGAAAAGGGAGATAGAGATAGAAAAAAATATCAATGATGAGAATCATCAAGTGGCTGCCTCCTGCATGCCCCCTACTGGGGATTGAGCCAGAAACTTGAGCATGTGCCCTTGACTGGAATCTAACCTGGACCCTCCAGTCTGCAGGCTGGCTCTCAATCCATTTAGCCAAGCCAGCCAGGGATGTTTTAGTTTCTTTACATTCTATTCCTACCTTCCCCTTATTTCACACCTCCAACCCCCATTCTATGAGCTTACCTTGTGCTTCATCTTTTCATCTTGATGAATTGATGACACCTTCTCTCTCATGTTATATGATAAAAGATTTAAGAAGTCACCTGCCTGCCTACTAGCATGGCTCAGTGGTTGAATATTGACCTATGAACAGGAGATTGCTGGTTTGATTCCTGGTCAGGGCACATGCCTAGGGTTGTGAGCTTGATCCCCAGTAGGGGGTGTGCAGGAGGCAGCCAATTGATGATTCTTTCTCATCATTGATGTTTCTCTCTCTCTTTCCCTCTCCTTTCCTTTTGGAAATCAATATATATATATATATATATATATATATATATATATATATATATATATATATATTTATTTTTTAAAGAAGTCACCTGCCTAATATTGAAGGACCTCACTCAGTGACACCCTAGACACTTTCTTCTTGCTTTGGTATTCCACCTCCACCATGCCTTATTCTAACAAACTCTGAAACATGTGACATCTAATTTAAAATGCAATGTGTCTGTTAGAGTTTTCCCATGATTCCTCTGCAGTCTCTTATAGGGGCCCCTGTCCTAAATCTCCATTTCCATTCTGCCATTGTCACTATCATAGCTTTTACTGGATCATTTGTAATGGTCCACTCACTTGCTTGTGCCTGCACCTGAGCTGTGACTTTACCTTTCAGACCTGGCTTCCCAGAACCTAGAGTACTGGGTGGCACCAATAGTCACAGTAATAAATACTGTTTGATCAAATGAGTGGATGAATAATGGACTGTTTAAATTTTTATTTAAATCATTATAGGAGCCTGTAAAAGCCAAGAAATTCAATCTCTTCTGTGACAGGTGAAAGGAAGAGAAATTTGTCAATAAGTGAGTTGTCCCAAACCACTAAAATTTTGCCAGTTAAAGTACTGGCTATTTACAGACCCACTCTGATCTAGGTGATGTCTTTTCAGACTTGTTCATTATTTCATCCCTAATACAAAGTACAGTACTTAACATTCAAAATATATTTGAGGAAAAGATTTCTGAATAATTATTAAGACAATTTATGATAATTATAGCAAATAATTTTTCACATATCAACATTTCCAGAAAATTCCTTTTACTTCAGCATGCTCTCCACAGGGTAAAAGAGTCTAAGGAAGCTCTCTTGCACAATTTTTAGAATCATGATGCTCATTAGTGACTTTTTAATACTTGGATACATCTATTCATTTGCTTTTCCCACCTTTTATTCCATGTATACTGTTTCCTTTCCTTGGTGCCAAAGAATCTTATTTGTTTACCCTCTAAAACTCATATAATAAGTTCAGTGTGTAACTCTGGGTAGCACTGGTTTCTACAAATGTCTGAAAGAAGGATGTTTCCAGTAGCAATTAGCATCACAGAAGAGGTCCCTTTCTTGATGAATGTATATTGATAAATTTTGTTGTGTATCCATAGACAAAATTTGTTTTACTTAAGCTTTCGTCTGATGAAAATAGAATTTAGCAAAAGCCTGGATTTATCTACCAAAAAGCTATAAAACTTCTCTACCCATCAGAACAATTGATGCATGCTTTCTCAGCTAAGAATACCCTTTCTTTCCCCAAAAATATTCACTAAAAGGCCACTGTGTGGACCAGAGAAGTGTTTTGTTAATCATTTCTCAAAAAGAGGAATGTGAAAGGCAAAAATTAATACTCATGCAGGGAGAAATCAACATAAGCAGGCTAAAATTATTTACCTTAAAATTCCATCTCCTTGAACAACATAAGCTATGTTCTTCCAGACACTGCTAGGCCTTTCCAAGATACCTGAGACTAGGCCCAGGCTCCGTATTTCTCATGTTAGAACTCTATACATTCGACTCAATTGCCATCAAACAGGCTGGGCCATTTCCCATGATCTTGAGTCAATGCATTACAGTTGTCAGGTATAACCACAAAGAGGTCCCAGGAAAAGGAAAGAGGAAGGGGTAATGGCAATTTAGTAATAGTTTCCTATATCATCTACCAAAATCCAGGCTGCCTTCAGTGTATTACGAAGAAGCTAATCGTCTTTTCACTGTGTACTCTTTTTTTTCTTTTAAATATATTTTACTGATTTTTTACAGAGAGAGATATAGAGCTAGAAATGTCGATGAGAGAGAAACATCGACCAGTTGCCTCTTGCACACCCCCTACCAGGGATGTGCCCGCAACCAATGTACATGCCCCTGACCGGAATCAAACCTGGGACCTTTCAGTCCGCAGACCGATGCTCTACCTCACTGTGTACTCTTACCTACAACACTTACTATGTGCACATTTTCACATATCTACAAGTATCCACTTGCACATTTCTAAATGTAGTTTATATACATGTACAGACATCAGGCACACATTTTCACTTCTGGAAAGTGTTCATTCCTCCCCATTATCTCTTTATGTTTATCTGCAGTCATTCATTCTTTTAACCAATTTTCAAGTTAAAATAAAAAAGAAAACCTTCCCTTTTAATATAGCTGCTCTGTCACCCTGTTTTGCTTTTAAGGGGAATGATTTCCATAATACCCTCCAGCACCTCAGACACTTAGGCCAGCTT